GAGTTGCCTCTAAAAAAGAGACTCACTCGCAACGGGCTTACCTCCTAAGACTTGCCTGCTGGCCCCGATTTCCTTACCCCGCACATCCTCCTCCTCGAGCTTCCTGGCCCCTCTTCGAGCCATGCTCAGTATGTCGGCTATTTCCCCTCTATCCTTGCCTCGTCTCCCCTGAAGCAACGTACCTCAAGGCAGCTAAGCATTTTACCTTACGAGCTTTAGCTCCTCAGCTTGGAATCTGTCTCCATAGGTATGTCAAAGATCTGCACGGTTCTTGAACAGCAGGAGCGACATCGTTCGAGCTACAACAACTACTAGCATTACCTGCTAAGTATCGTAAGTCTCTGGCAGTGCACAGCGCAGAGCGGCGTGAGGAGCTAGATACGGCCGTTTGCTTCTAATAAACTCGGCAAGACACGAGATTCGAGAGTAAGTAGTCCGCTGAGATACGATCCCTGATGCCCGCACTCTTACTACCGACCGATGCTTTCGACTCGAGCCGAAAACATCGAGTTCATAGTCTGCTCTGCAACATCTCAAAGTGCTCCGTTTTGAGGCGTTCGTAGACAGCTGTGCCATTGTACGCAGGTGAAAGAATCAAAAGACAGCGAAAGGAAAAAGACGGAAGGATTACTTCCTTGGATTTCGCTTTTTGACAAGCGGTCAGAGGCTACCATGCAATATTAGCGACGGCAATAACTACATCAGTGAGAGGGCTCCCATAGAGAAGCACCTATAGACAAGCTACGACCCTCCAGTACACGTCAAACGCAAACTTTCCCGTTATGGCTAAAACGATGGTTTTAGCCATAATGGGAAAGATTAATTAGGCAGGAAAAAAGTCATCATATGACGCTCACTATTGTTCTGTCGCAGAAACCCCAAGAGGTTTTATCTTCAGACGATATCTAAGGTGCCAGTTACAATTAGTACCTTTTTAACAGATGGAATTTTCTTGAAACGCAATTAAAACATTTGAATTCGTACAGCATCATACTCGTCGTTTTTCTCCTCTTGTTTTCATAAAAATGCGCACAACAGATAGAAAAACATAAGTCATAATAGTTACTCTTCGTTAATTGACGCATAATATGAGACGACATGGACGTGTTGTTTGCCATGGCTATCGCTTTTGTACGAAACAATGGCTACGAACAGAATATCTTCTCTTCACGTTCAAGTTCTACTGGGTGGTATTCAGTCCTAGAAGGTTGCACTTTCTCAAAATCTGCTTCTGTTTCGGCCATGAATCTCTACTCGGTTTGCTGAAACACTGCTCAGGTGTGCATCTCGTGAATTTGGCTATTTGATCACAATTGAGCCAAACGTACGGTTGCTCAGAAAAGCTGGTGAAGACTAACATCCGTAGAGAAGCTACGCTACTAACCTGTTCGGAGGTTCTTCACAAACAAACAAACTTAACACCAGGCTCCTGGCAACACCCCTAAGTTTCCCACTTACCCGACCAGCTTGAGAGCAGCTCTTGCAAGTTGTTGTAATAGTACCTAGTTATAATGGGAGCTTGTTAAGCGATTGCTACGCAATCACCCCAGAGGCACTCGTTCACACAGATGTGTACGCCCTGCCCCTAATGTTGGACAGTGGAGACGCCTTCCCTCAACAGCAGTTCAAAATTTCGTCAGGGCCGCCCGACACCCGCTGCTCTGAAGTTTGCAAGGCAACGATACGTACAGCGTTGAGGTGCAACAAATATCATCCACATATATAAGTATATACAGATATGTGTACATAAATATATCGACCCAAAGAAACAGACTGCAGTAGCAACGAGATGAGCCGAATTGCCAACGACGACAACTAAAGCCGTAGGACTATCCGATAGGTTGGGTGCCTCAAACGCTGTTCTATTAGCTTGCTCAATCAGCCTGCCGGTCGCTTAAACGTATCCTACGTATGAAGCTCTCACCATTGCTTTAAGTCTCCGACAAGCTCCTGGATTGTCGAACAATTTTAGCATTACTCTGCTACATTGCATTTTGTGAGATCCTAAACTGCATTTGCAATGCATATAATGGCCGGTACAGGAGACGCAGAGCCCAGCGGATCTCTACATACACATACCTATATGGTACATGCAGGACGAGTAGTCAGAAGAACCGGAAGTTGTCGGGGTCAGGTTGTCAGACCATCCAGTCTGCGAACCCATAAGATGATTCACTAACACCCGAACAAGAACTGAGGCCTTGCACAGGTTTATCGCTACCGCAATACAGCAATCCTATTCCCCACAAAAGGTCTGGAGAGGGAGTGCACTATACCTCGCAACGCGTCGAGGAAAGCCTACGGACGGGGGATAGCGTACTGAGTCGACCTGTTAGAGGCTAGGCTACGGCCGTGTATAGCGAAAATTTCATTTCAGAATGGCGTCTTTCTGTGAACGAACGTCCTTAAGACCGCCCCCGAACGCCATGTGCATCCCCTTTCTTCCCGCTTCTATGGTTTCTTCTCCTTTCGTTGCCAACGAAGCTCGCACAGTTTGCAGCCTCCTTCTCTTTAGTTCGTTCTTTTACGCGGACTGCTCGAGCAAGCCAGGAAAGGCCCCGCCAGGCATGCCAAGCCAGGTAAGTGTTTTCTATTGGTCTCCGTTTGCCGCGGATGGGACAACGGTAGTGGGATGGAAGATGTGAGACGACGGGCTACTTGTAATGGCCACTACACCGTCGGGAACTTCAGAGTTGAAGGCCTCGCGGGGACACAGGCGTAAACAAGGCGTAGCAGTAGCAGGGATGAGATGAGCATGAGACGTACCGTATGCCAACGATCCAATGGGATACAAAAGACAGAGGGCGAATATCGTTACCCTATGTGAAGCTGCTAGATCGCTGGGCTGCTAGACCGACCGTGCCTACTACATGAGAAGAACACGATGACACAAGTGCTGCAAAAATGTGAGGCAGTGTCGAGACCATGCGGTGTGCATTGAAGCAAGTAGCAAGGAAACATTATAGGACTTGGGGATATGGAATGGGCAAGAGAACTAAGGCTACAGAGCAAAATGGACTCACGGGAAGATGAAAGGAACGAAAAAAATGGAAAAGGAAAGGGGCTCAAAAAGCGCAGCCAAAAGCGGGCTTCGAGGAAATAAAGACATTCTGGTTGCAATGAAGCGCCGTTACGCCATTACACCGGTCCATCCACTGCTATGCCACCATGGGCAATGAAGACGGTTCGCAGTTTGGAGACTTGTGCGGCTTCCGTATAGAGATCACGCACAGAGTACAAAAAGGTACAATGAACTCGTGTATCCATCGTCGTGGTCAGCCGCTCGCCCCGTTTAGCTTTTGTCAAAGCAGACATCTCCCACTATCCCTCTCTTTTTGCCATTTGTCCATCTCGCTGGTCAACAAAACCGCAGAAGTACAATTTTTCAGAAGGACCAGCTGCAATGATGCCACATGCACAAGCAACATACGTCGTTATACGAGTTCGTCTTTCCTCTATTTTGTAGCTGAATAAAATAAGGAATTTAGCGTAACGCAAAATTGTCCACGTTGCTGGGAGAAGACAAGGCCATGTTGGCAGGTTGGCAGGTTCGCTGATTTCCAACGTCGATACGGATAACTGATTTCGGTACTGGGTATCAGTACTCACTCGACTAAGACTGGCGTCTTACCACCGCACTTCGAAGTGACAGCAGTGATGGACGTACTAATCCAACACAAAAGGTAGGCCAAGACCCCCCAGAAAACTATCCAATTCTTTTCCCGTTGGTAAAAGCGACAAGCTACCTCGCCTTAATCCACGGATGTTAGGAGTGAATCTCCATAAGGCAGAGCAGATGTGAGAACAGATAGCGACGGCTACGATGGGAAGACTAAAAAAAGACGACAGGTGAGCTCTACAAGTACTGTAAGATGATTCAATGAAAAAGCCGGCCGTTCCGTAAATAGGGCCATGGAAATTCATGCACAGCTTCAAAACTGGATCTGGGTTTGGTTAGAAACGGGGGGTCAAAGGAGGAAGGGCAAAGGAAAAAAACGAATAAATAATGGGGGAAAGGGGAAAAACGTGCGAAAGGCACTGACCTTGGCGTCGGCGGGCATCTACTTGGAATCACGTCTAAGTCCATAACGAGCAAATAAAATAGTAGGTACTATTTCTACCCATACTGGATGGGTGAGAAGGCCGCATGCGTAATAATGAACAGACAGGGCTACCTGATCTAGGTGGGATGTAGTGTCTACGTTTGCGTTCCACCCGATGTCTCTCTTCCCCAAACAATCCCCTTCCGTAGGGATGATCAAATATCGGGATAAAGCGTATCGTAATCGTTAAACCTTGTTTTGCATTATATTTTGGTGCTGGGACTATTTATTACCATATTTCGGTGCTTTTCCGTTAACCTGACTTAATCGATATAACTAAATTAGTGTGGGACCCTCTTGTTGTACTATAGTTATACGATGTGTTATACGGTTGTCGGCAACAATGTACGTACTTGGATTGGGCAATAAAGCCTGGAATTCTAAGTTCTTTGAATTTTTGATTGAAAACGGCTATAGATCACGGCGTGACCTGCGTGCAGTAATTATTTTTTTTTATGCATATCTTAAATGTATCGTTTAAGCGTCTCGGCAGCATTAACATCAAATCATCATTAGAAGAGTGAGTAAAAAGAATCGGAACTTAGAAATTAAAATATTCTATTGAATATTAATAGCCTAAATTGCCTTATTAGACCAACTGACAAGTTGACCCAGCTCTCTAAAGTAGATATAAAGTTGACGTCCAGGATGAGCGTAGGCCATAGTAACGTGCCATGTTTATAACGAGACCTCATGCCCAAATCGGTCAATTCCAGGCTATGACACCCACTCATTATGAAATTGCGTTGCTCAAGCCGGCATTCTATCTATCGATCATCTCTTGTTCTCCGGTGTCCAAAGCTTGTCATCTCTCTTTTGCTCTTTACCCTTTCATATAGTATTGTATTGTAGTAAAACTAGGTGGAAGCTAACTAATAGTGCATGAATTCAACTAACCTGATATCGATGAGCTGGGCACCTGGTCTCGCAGTCCTTTAGCTCTGTAGACGTACGCGACTTCCTTGCACGAGGCTGTCGTTCCCGAACTTTCATGCACGAACCCATTTCCGCTACTTCCATTTGCCTTTGAACCGCTGTCCTCTGCGCTTACCAACACGGCTACACACAATACAGCAGGCACCCAGGCCGACCTTGTCAATCGTGACAAGAATCCGCGTTGAGCCATCCTGCCAAAACTTCAGTGACAGGAACTGTAATCGCTAATACACGGCTGTAGTATTCCTGAAGTTGCGCTCCACAGTTGTTGTATGTACACTAGGCCAGCATTAAAATATCCATCGGACTCCTATTCCTCTTACTTTTCACGCTCTCTCTCTCTCTCTCTCTCTCTCTCTCTCTATATATATATATATATATATGTATATATGTATGTATGTATATATATATATATATACTGTTGTGATGTGTTGTACAGGCGTCGGGAAGATATTTGCAGAAAACACTGATTCGATGTTGTGGTAGTGCTGATGACGGGATAACTTGCCAGGGAATCACGCAATCACTATTATGCAACAATGAGACAACAACCGGGTAATATTTGTATTATTTCAAATGGCAAACTTGATTCCATCGAACATGACGATCAGAGCGGCTATAATCGCAAATATAGTATAGTGCCACCTGCACGCATACTGATGGCTGTACATATACGCAATGACACTTTTGCCAATCGGATTGCTAAACGAAAAGCAACATTATCCACACCCTGTTCTTTTAGGGGGAATACATTGTTGCAGCTACTGCGTCCGCTGCTCTTTCAGCTGCTGGACCTAGCTCAAGGTTCTATTTTGGGTATGGCGTAGGACGGTAGTAGGTGGAGACGATTTTCACAAAATCTTTACTTTTTTCTCGCGCCCACGTCTTGCTCGCATTTGGCATTGAACACGGACCGTCGCAAGTCTCCCACGGCAACACCGCCGAAACCACCGAGCTCTCACCCAGATGCCCACCTACCACCGCTCGTACACTAATTATATTACTGAGCACCGGGTCTCCGACGTCGCACTCGTGCACTATCTACGACTAGGGATACAATTCGTGGCTAGAGACTCTACCACTCGGCAAAATAGCTTCAGTGATTGAATGGCCAGTGTTTCACAGAGGAGAATTGGTAAAAACGGAAGGCTGTGCCAACTACCTTCCACATCCGACGCACCATCATGGACGGATAACGATGATACCCTTTATCGTCGCGCAGAAACAATTTCATTTGTTGTGTCATATGTCAGATGAAAACGTATTCCTCTTCGGCTCCACTGCTGCGCAACAAATATTAACAGCATCCGCAAACTCTACGCGGGTACAAGACGTTTTACGTCCCCGTTCACGTCATTGCGGGCCACAAACCACTACACGGGATCCTGGTCGCCACCTGCCCGCCCGCCTGCCTGCCTTCACTCACGCACACACACGTCCTTCTCACTGGCAGCAGTGGCTCGAGTGGCACCAACCAGCGCTCCGTCGTCTATCTATTCAGCCAGCTAGTTGGAGTCGAAGCATTGGCCCGTACTCTTTGCTGGCTCAACCCTCTTCATCTCCCTCGCTGCTGCTGCTGTTACGAGTGGGTAACACAGTGGAGAGGCGCACATATTGGGAGAGGGCAGCGGTGGCCATAGGAGACCGCGAGAGCGGAATGATTCTGCTGCTGCTGCTGATGCTGCTGTTGACGACTTGAGAGCGCGCCAATCTTCAAAGGAATAACGATGGTGAAAACGATGAGGCATACGGCGACTATGGCAGTGGCAGCAGCGGCGACGGCAACTGCACCGTCGCTGACACCGACAAGCAGCACAAGCGCCAATGCTGCTACTGCTGCTGCTGCTGCTGCTGCTGCTGCTGCTGCTGCTACGGCGAAGCTAGCGCTTCGACCTGTTCGGCGGCCGTTTCTACTGCTATAATAACTACTGGCCTTTCGTTCAGGGTTGTTTGGTTGGTTTAGATGTCTATCTGGAGGCAGGAGCGCTGGCTGGACGATGGCAGTTGGCTGCTGGCTAGATAACCCACTGGCTGACTACCACCGGATTTTCGACAGTAGGCAGAAGACATTGGACGGCATCTTCGATTCTTCTGCGTTCTTCGTCGTTTTCCTTTTCTTAACAGTCGCGGTAGTAGTAGTCGTAGAAGCTACGATAGATCTTTTGGGGTCTCGCCGTTCGGCCGTTGACTCCGTTCTTTTTCATCTCCCTAGCCGGCATCCAGTTCTCTCTGTTTTTTTTTTTCTTCGTTCGTTCTGATTTTACATGAATCGATGAGTGGACGGCGGCAACATCGACACCGGTATAAGTTAGACGAATGAGTCACTTTAACCATAGCTATAACATGTTGTGTGACAGGACAGCAAAGCAACATCCAAAGCAGTGACTTGAACCCGGAGCGCGTATAACCTAAGTTGAGCCAATATATGATATAGAATAGTGAACGGTTTTTATTTGAACACAACTTCGAAACGACACTACTGGAACTTGAAGCGTGGGATCGGCCATTTCAGGGAATTCGTCAGCGCTTGGAGCGAGAACCCGCAAAGCAATAATTAGAAAAGAAAACGTCAAATATCGCAAGCACGCCACTTCCTCAAAAAAGACTCGTACGTGAGAACCATTTTACTTAAAGGCCTTCGAGAACGAAGCAGTCGCTGACGAGCTGCATAAGTTAGTATATAGAATATAACGCAGAATATCGCTATTCCAAAATGAACGGCGACTCTAACAGAAAACCTGCATTAAGCACCAAATGTCTGCAAGGACCTTGAGACGTTGTCACAGTTTTACCTGGAATTCCGCTGCTTGTGGCTACAGCAGACTTTAACTTTGCTTACAGGTTGCTTCCGTATAACTTACCGGGCAGCGGTTCAAAGGGTTGACTCTTCGAAATTTGTCGGTTTCTGAGCGTGATGATAATAGTGCTAATGGCGATTCACCGGAAATACCCAGACAGCACTTCTGCGAAGGGTTACCTGCTTCCCACTTGTTCGTTGTCTCTTAGAGTTTATTCAGCTCGTAACCAACGGGTGGCTTGGATCACCACAAACGATCCGGACCAATCGCGAGTCAATCCGGTGTTGAGACCTGTCATCAAGTTGACTAAGATACATTGAGTGAAAACTCGAATTCTTTCAATAGAGTATCCTGTCATTAGCGGAACTTACGATATTGACAATGTTCAGCTTGCGAATTGCTATCGTTGGGATCGCTAACCGAAACTAGTCGATATCCTCCGATAGCAGACGACCGATATATTAATACTGCGGGACGTAAGCTGCCGTAAGAAAGTACTAAGTTTATCGTTTGGTTCCCGGTTTCTCCTTTGAATCTATTAGGTGTTGTTGCGGTGCAACCATAAGCTCTCTTTTTTCTTTATCTATTGATAACTCGTCACTGTTTAATGGTAACGTAACTGATAGACAGATGATGATGCTATTGGTCCGGGTCCGGGTCCGGGTTTTATGCTGAGAGTCCACCGTCTGAGCCGCTGAGCGCCGAACATAAAACTTGAAATGTCTATTAAGCCATTAGTAAACAAACGAAGCATTGCTACGTGGGTTAAGGGCTAATGCAGGTCAGACGTTGTTGTAAGAGGATTCGTCTGGCACTGCAAAACTAACACAGAAATATGACGAAGTCTGAATATGCTGCTTCAAAAAATAGACGGAAGGTGTAATGATAAGGATTTGTTGCTAGATATTTCCCAGGATGAACTATATAAATAATAATTGTCTACCTCAATAGGTATAGTCATACAGTTTGCCCCACAGAGTCCTGATTTGATTTTCAGGAACGATGCATGTGGCGCGATTTTTTGCCAGGTCAGCGCGGTCGAATACGGCATGGCCGTTAGATGATATTCTGGAACGGTTCGATAATTAGCAGTACTACGTTTTGCATAGTATAGTATAGTATAGTATAGATGATCGACGCGATTAAGTGAAAAGAACGATGCACTTCTCCCCTAAGTATTCTTCGCATATTTCCTACTAGTTGCCCTGTACCACATCGAGTTTTATGTAGATCAATATAATACTACAGAGATGCAAGCGAGCAGTTAAAATGGGAGAAACCAGAACCCGAAGCTTTTCTTCGACACTGCATAGATGTTCGCTTTAGGGGGCTGTTCGTGATAGCGGGTGTGCGTGTATTACAGGAACGCTTGATCCTGTTTCTTGTCCAAAGTTTACGTTATTGCCAGCTTTTATGGCTTCTGAAAACTATGAGCGATTTCGACGAGGCAAACCGGAAGGTTCTCAATAGAGCCTAGACCTGAAAAGTTCACCAAAACAGCTTTTCAAAAGGGCATTTTTTTTGCACGATTGAATTATTTCTATCCTTAAATTGACGGCTGTTTTGCGGAACAAAGTATCAACTGCCAAAATGAAGAAGCTCTAACCGTTAGCCTTTTTAGATATTGTGCGCTTTTTTGCACCTGTCGGTCCTTGATATAGCATTTGGGAGGCACTTGAACGAATTTACACATGCTGATATTACTCGACCTATGGATACTATTAGAAAGTCAATGGCGGAATTACGCAAAACCATCGTGGGAATGACTAGTGAACGGTTTAAGACCCAAATCAAAGCGGTAATCGCGATAGCTCGCTGTTATATTGAATAACTACTAATGCTAGGTGCCTCGTCAATGACGATGTACCAGCTACGGGCCTGCGCCTCGTAGTCGGTAGCAACCTAGTTGCCTTTTTAGTCTTACCCAAATACGAGAATTGCTCTCATTATAGGTAGGGACGCGTGCGAGTGGCGTACTGCTTCTTGTCCAATAGAAGTTGGAGCTGCCGAAGATTTCCAAACAAGCCCGTAAGATAGGACGACTATACGAGCGCACAACTCGAAGCGAACGTTGTCCGAATACGTGGAACGGGATCTTTCAAAATACATGTCGTAGAACCGGGATTTATAAACTGTGTTTCGCTGATTCGTCTATCTAGAGAACGTGGTCATCATAGCTTTCGACTGTAGCATGGAAAAAGCATCCTGAAGTACAGCTAAGACGAATTCGTTTCAGGTACGACATCTTTGAGGTAGCGAACATTGCAATCGACGCATACGATGCTTGTTCTTTTACAGAGCCACAAAACAGCTTGTTTATCTATATATTGCTTTTATATTAGATTGTTCAATATGAAACGAAACATATAATTAATCTCCTTTTCCATATTATAACGACACGGCGTTTCGCAGCACTGTTTCCTTTATTTCTAAGATAGGTATGCCTGCACTTTTTGAAATCTAAGATCGGTCGGGTTATCGTTATTTGTTACTTTATGCTTACTCGGGTCTTTCACAGGAGATCTCGAATCATTCACGAACGAGTTTGGTCATGGAACTAAATGGCAGCTAAAAGTTCGTAAGGTACGAGTTAAACGAATCCTCGATGTCATAAATGAGTCTCGTGGCAGGCGCCCTCGGTCAAATGAATGAGGTAAACAATTTGGACAAATGGGTATCGCATCACTTGAGCGGAAATGAAAAATATATAGATCTTTTTACTCACAACAGTGACCCAGAAAACGAATCCTCTGTGGTAATCTTGGAGGGTCACATCAGTCGAAAGCAGAAGTACGGCTGTATGTTTAACGGACTAATGCAGGTGTTATTTATCCGCTACAGCTGATAGAGAGGGAGAAAGCTTTCTCGTATCCTAGACATCTGTACTAAACTAGATAATGTAAGTTGCCATCCACATGCCAGAAGATCAATGCTACATCCTTTTATCCGCAATGAAAGAAATTAAAAAAGTTCAAGATTAAGTTTCCTATTAAACAACTGGTTATATGCTGTCATTTTTACTGCCGAACAACTCTTTCAATATTTTACATAGTTTTTCAGGGATCTCTGCAAGTAGCAAAGATGAACTTTGAACTTCTCAAAACAAATACACTGGACTACTTTCCAAAACCTCTATCCGAATACTTCAAGCGTAAGTATTGCCCTTCTGTGAACGCAGCTAATATTGTTATTGTTATGGGGCAGTCAGTGGCCTAACGGAAAGCTAACCTCGGAAGGTAGCTAATTCGGAGTCCTTTACACATAATAGATAGTGCGTGAGTCAATAAATTGAGATTTATTAATGTAAGCTCTGTTGTGATCAGGTAGAGTCAAAATGGTAGTTGAGCTAAAAGGGAAGGACTCTCGGAGATACCTTTGCTGTCATTTGGCCGTTTCCCACATTACAGAACTGAAAAATCCACATGTAACCGATAGGACACACATAAAAAATAGCTCTTACTAGTTAAATTACTTATGCGAACAGCCATATTAGTTTATTACATTGATAGACGAGAACATTGGAGACTTCTAAAAACCTATACGATGCAAAATAAACTCAATATGATGTAGAATCCCAAAAAACTTCCACGCCACCTAACGGGTCATAGCTTTCCCGATTCTTCCTTTCCTTTAGAGTGCAATTAATTGGAAATAGTATGTACAGCCAGTCCAACAAGGATAATTTCTTTTAAAATGCTGTTAGAAGTATAAAAATGCAGAAGTTTCAGGCAGATCTATCTATGCGACTTGAAGCTAGTTAAATAAGAGATAAGCAATGTTTAAAGCGAATGGAACCGTTCACGAGGTTCATATACAACGGTTTGGAAGACCGAAAAAATGAACGAGCTTCACCAGCCAAGAAAGATCACAGAAAAAAGTATGGTAAAAAAACGCCTAAAAAAATAATATCTCTAAGGCAATCAAGTCGCGAGAGCGCGGAATCAACAAATGAGGCGTCCATCACATCTTAAAAGGCCGTAAATTTTAAAGCTCTATTTCAACAGTGGCTTATGCTATAAAGGAAGATAATCCGGGCCGCTGATTTCGCCAGCAGTTCTTAAAGATATGTGAACAGGATGCATAGTACTCAGTGAGGATTGTTCGGACTATGCAGTCATATTTAAATTAAAAGGCACAATTATTCTATACATCTGCGCTTATTAATAAACTGTAATTCTACATGTTGCGTGACAACACCGCCTAAACTTACCAGAAGTTAGAATATGCTGCGGCATTTCGAGCAAAGGATTGATTGGATCAGTATTTTTCATAATACAGTGACTGGTTCTTTCTACTTGAAGTTACTGCAAAAATTTTTTTTGGTAAAAAATGTATATATATATATATATATATAAGGAATTTTAGGGAAGATGGCGAACTAAAATTCCAACTCGATAGGATACCTGCAGACAGCCATCGTCACGTAGGATCATATCTCGACGTAAGTACTCCGAATACCGATTTCATAAACTACCCTTGCTAGTTCCGGGATATCTGATCAATGAATCTATGTCTGATCAATGAAATCTACAGCAATCGAGTCAGAGTACGCCGCAATCGTGGATGCTCTGAATAATATTGGCAATGTATAGACTAGAATGTTATACATATCATATAGGTATCTTTAATTGATATATTAGTTAAGATCTATGATCATTCGAATTTTATTTTAATACCGACAAACAAGCAAGTGTCTTCTTTTTTTTGTAACAATAACTCTAAAATAACTCTAAAACTTTAAAAAATATGAAAAGTTTCAGCTACACTGGAAGAAGTTACTCGTTTATTCGTCGAAACGTGAGGGCATGCGGCTCGTTAGCCGGTGATACAGTAGAAAGTTCCCAACGTACTGCTGTCACAGAAACTTTTTCAGGCACGGCCATGTTTAAGCATCAAGCAAACATGAAATTGGCAAGAGTGATTGTAATAAAGCATTACCAAACGAAGAAGTGTTTTATTTATTCTATCATCTGCTACAAATATATATATCTTGATGTGCTATATAGGATAGATAGATAGATCTGTATTCATTGCATGTTAATATGTATAATTTAAACAAACATCTTGTCGCTCGAACACAAAAAATTAATAAAAAAAAAAATCATACGTAAATAAATAATGAAAAAGTGTAGCATGTAAATACAACACATTCTCCATAATTTCGCACTTAACAGATATAGCATCGACCCAGAGCACGAAAGGTCTTATAGTACGAAGCACATTTGCTAGGTCGTTTGAGCTTTTCTCGCGTGAAACTCTTGCAAAAAAAAATATTATCATATATGACCTATAGCAGAAGCAATGCGAGGCTGCCGTATCAGTAGCTCATAGTGATTTTGGTGGAATGCCATGGAACTTTACCCACTGAATATTTATAGCTGCTTTCTTTTCTTGGTGTCCATGGACGGTGCGCTAAACGGAGATACCTGAAGCTGCGAGTCTGGCCAATGGAACAAAAAAGCAGAATTTTTCATGGTTGACTTTACGCTATCTAAACACTTCTTTTTTCATTAGCAAAACTGAGAGGCTATATCAAGAAATGCAAATATCTTTCGTCACTCTTTGAAGCCTGTTTTTCATGAAGCACACGAAAAGTCATCAAGGTCTGACCTTGACCGTGCTGCTCATAAAAAATCATCACGAAAAGTTCAATCAATAACTTTTAATTAATGAAGGACGGTCTGCGTCCGTTCTATGCTTCAGGTAATTTAGATTAAGCTTCAGATACTTTGGACGTTTTTCATCTATCTAAATTATATCTGAAGCTATATATATATATATATATATATATATATATATATATATATATATATATGTATATAATATTATTAAAAATACATATTTTGATATGACTCCAAAACCAACGTCGCATTCCCCTAAACATAAGTGGGATAAGCGTGAAAAAAATCTTGGCGTGGGGACTATACGAAGCGCTATAAACCTTACCGTCAAAGCTAACGCCTTCCCTCACCGGTTCGCATTTAACGATTTCTAATCACATGAGCAGAAACCTCGTCTCAGTGACCTGCAATCGGAAATGGCAAACGCCATAATATTTGTGTGATTACGGTCATCAATCATAGTAGTATAGTTAACGTAAGCTATCTGTTGCCTCAGGCGTAGAGAACAGTAATAAAACGGCATATAGTTCTATAGGATAGATGGATCTATTTGACATCGGTTAAAAGTTAGATCAATCCGCACGCATGTCTCTTAAGCATCTTCCATTTGCAGCCTTACTCCACGATGCAGATGAGCCGGCAACTATCGCTAGAAGGCTCGAACCCGAAGCAAGAAGTAGGTCCAATGGGGCAGGTACTTTGGGCCAATTGGCTACCATCAGCGCTAATGCCATTCGTTTGGGTTTAGTCTTCCCTCCACGCCGCATATCAAACTGATGATTAGTTTGTCGTAATTATCATTTATATCGTAGCGATGCGTCATGTTCGTTTCGTTCAGATGATACTATGCGCTTTGGCTTCAGAACGTCTAAACACAAATCCGTTCCCCTATCTGATATTTTCTCCACTAAGGGCTCAGGATGTGGGGTGACCCGAGTTTTACGATCATCTTCGAACCTCGTCTCTATTACTATTGAAGATAACGCGACAAGCGTATGTCATAAACATGAGATCTTGAGTTTTTTTTTTAGTTAGCGGCAAAGATAACTGGAAACAATTGAGCATCGTCCACTAGCCTCTCATCATAAACTGAGATAGCTGTTTACTAAACAGGCAATAGGATAGACAGGTAAAAGGGAGCGAAACTGATTAAGTTATGCTTTGTTGTATTGCTGAGAAAAATCCGCATTAACTGCAACGCAGCTTGGTCGTAGAAAGCGACAGGACAAATTTTTTTGTCTTCGTAGGATTACACTTACAGGAACGCTGCGTGACGTGTGTCTGGAAGTCTTTCCTGTTTGTGGCAGTGAAATTGCAGCGGTCGCAGGCAAAGCTCACTTCGATGTGACCTGGAAGAACGCCTGAGGATCCATCTCCATAACTGGGTCTCATCCGCAGACCCCGGCGAACTGCGCGACGAACTCGTGCCGCTTCACGTTTGGCGACCAGACGTTTAATCATCTCCTAAAAAAAAGTGATATTGATCAGATGGAAAGGAGGCATTTTTCCTAATGTGACTTCAATGTTTATGGCGAGTATCATCCTTGGCGCGATGGTTACCGTTTGCCCGTCGTCGTTATGTATATCACAAGCTAATTCTACGATTACAAGCCAGCTAGTGAGAACTAGGTCGACGAGTCAAACTCTAGAAACAACTTCAATGGCGAAAACAACCCACTGCTTCAGAGGAATACAAAGTTTCTCTATGTCATCTCATATTGTTTCTTGAATTAGGTTGCTCATTACTATTTATTTATTACAACGAGAACATCATATTACCTGTATATCAAAAAACGCTACGCACCGAAACATACGATTCATATGTACGTCCAAGAAAATTACAGGATATATTTTTCAAACCAACTGTAATGCGTATTTCTCGGCTTATGGTTCACATAGAAGGGCTTCCCATAAGAGACACCGACAGACGTACTCGACCATGGGAGTTGTACGATATTGTCGTACCTCTTGTTGACTGACTACATGAACAGAGGCGGCTGGTACGCAGGCGTCTGCCATCGAAGGCTCAACCGGCCCTTGAGACCCTGCCTCAACGGCTGCTTCAGGAATCACGGACGATGAGGACGTAGACGACGTTGAGCTGTTCATTGTGTTCGCAAGTTGTTGAAGTCCAGTTACGGGCAGGGGGCCAGGCGCGACAGTGTTATTTTCAGATGTCGTGCCCTCAATAGAAGCTGTGGCTTTTGGGGGTCGAGGTTTGTTTCGGCGAGGGGGCTTTCCTGTCAGCGACATGCCGTGCACCTATTTGGCGAGCAAAGCCGCAGTACGTGGTACGAATGTACAGAACCATGCAGACAGAATTCAAACAGAGTAAATTCAGATGTATACGAAATAAGTGGATAGGGCTGTGATTTGAAGTAAGAGCTAATATTCAGATTCGACTGAATTCCCGCCAACCTGTTCGGCTCGTTCTTTGTACCACTGCAAAAGCATAGATGTTAATTATCCTTTATATTTAATCACGCCTGTCTTGTAGTACATGCCGTTGACTAGACTTGAAACAGCAGCTCCCAACTTCTACACCGCAAAACGGACGCTGTTTACCTTTACTTTACAGTGTGGCCATGCGTAAACAAATACAATTTATATAAATCTAGATAATGATAATAAATTATAGTGGAAAAAATAGAACTAAGGCTAGGGCAATAGGAAAGAAGAAAACGCACTGACGAGGCTAATACCTTTCGAAGATGTAGGCTGAAGCCTTTAAACGTGTACGACGTAAAATCGCAATGGTGGCATGAGATGAAAGCATCCTCCTCGAGCTTAATACGACCGTAGACGTGAGGCAATGACGAACTCATGACGCCACGGCACAATCTGTATATATTTATATAGTTACAAATGAATCCTCTATAGTTTCATATGGGTCTCTCGAGTTGCACATGAACTATTTAGATATGTTAGTGTGCGCTAGATACGAATAAGCTAAAAATTCTCTTGGGTACATCTATGAAATTTATAGTTTTCTGACATAGTTTTTTTGTTATTTTGTATTTGCTGGGAAATGTTTATTTGATCTTTGAGTTCTAGTAGATAACCGGAGAGACCGAGCACACAGATCGTCTTGATGAGAGTATGAAGAGTTGTGAATATTCTCACATTTCAGTAGCTGCTGCGTGTGATCGTTTCAAGTATCGGTATCGGTTTTATGGTCTTCAGCTAACCAACAAAAAAGTCTTCGATATTTTGTTAATTTTTGCGTGCCATAGTCGAGATGGAAGCCTATAATGAAACTGATGATAATATTCATTATGATTAAATTTAACTGGGCTGTTACTGTTCGTATTAGACCCCAGATGCCCCCATTGTTTGAATAGAATTAGTACTGGTGGAACCTGGAATCATTGGGTTTAATTCACGTACGGCGGGCTGGCCGCTATAACCTAGCTTTTATTGAATTTATGCACAGATACCCCCTAAAGTGAAATCTAGGAGGGTAGCAATTGCTTGCGACCACTATGAAAACAAGACTATGCTAAGCGTTCGCTCAACCCCTATCGTATCGTTAATTTTAATAAAGCAACTCGTTTGTTTGCGTGCAACCGAGACGACTATTTCGGATAAAAATCTAGCTCATTTCTTCATGTGGCTGTGTGGCGACTTTATAGGCTAATGTACATGATAGTTGGCTTATAGGACAACTCGAGATTAGAAGAAAACGCATAAAAGTAACTTATGATAATTCATTTTACGTAATACATGAATCCGTTCGGCCATCGTCAATCAACAGCGCACAGTTCTGTGAAAGCCGTTTCAACTACAATACGAGCAATTTTCCCTACGGTCGTTGTACAGGCCATTGCCTAGTTCGTTACTACAAATTGTTTCTCGTGGACATTTCGCCAAAAGCTTTCATTGGCAGAATACGAAATCGATACTGGCCCACTAGCGAGCTCAATGATCGCAACATGTTGCGAGGAAAGCTTGGCTAAACTAGACGACATCGTTCAATCGTACTTTATATCATTGGGGATTCGCCGAAGAGGCATTGGTAATTGAGTCGTCGACCACGACTGCATCACATATTACCTCTGAAGGCGATACACTGCGCACTTTTGTTGCACATGAAACAAGGAACGCTAAACGCAAGCGGAAATTGTCTGCGCGTGACGCGTATTGGCTGGGTTGTTAGACACACGTGGAACGAGTCGGGTAGTTGTCGCTCGCTCGCTCGGTCAGAACTCTCCGCTCGCCGTAGGCAGGTGGCAAGGTGGCGCCCTTGTCACAAATTCAGACACGTTGCCAGTAAATGGACTATTTCGATATGGCACTACGGAAGGACGGTGTCAAGACCTACGCACACGATTTTTCGTTTGATCGACACAAACACAAGTTCCACTCGACATAGATAAACAAGCATGTGTGATTCACTCTGGTGAGCGGTCAACTTACACGGGATTAGGTAGAGGCTGGTAGACCTATGTTTTTGCCCGAACGCCAGATTTTCCAAGGTCTTGTTCACGCGCAGTACAATTTAGCTAAACGCGAACGACGCTCGAACGGTGACTAGTTCGCATTTGATGTAGAATCGATCGATGTTGCACTGATAATGCGGTGCGACCAAGTATCACCAGACGTGATCAGTAGACATATGAGAATAGAACATTGAACGTTTATAAAAATAGCTATTTGCTCTTTCTAGCAGAGAGGGTAACGAGCCAGACTGACATTTATACTGTTCTTTCATCCGCATGGGGGGCATGCCGAGTTGGCGGATGTGGCCGTACGCAGACACACCAACCCATACACGACCAAGACGTATCAGCGTAATGTGAGCTCTACCGCCTGCACGCGGCCCCAAGTTCGCTAATGGCACGCATATTGTCTGATCCTATAAATACGGCCGATTGATAGTGTATGTTTTTTTGCTGTTCACATTGCCAGCCATTTGGGCTTACTCACAGCGGGCATTTGTACGATCCCAGCCAGATCTCACCGTACTACGGCTGACTTTTCTTTTTGGTAAAACTGGCAGCGCATGAACAAAGGCTGATTTAGGAACTGACGAAACGGAATCGGAGAGCGTACCAGCGGCTTGATACCAGCTCATCGTGATACCATTGTCGTAACGTGCTACTACGTGAAAAGTAAATTGGGTTCCGAAAACTTCCAAAAAAATCACGTCGCGACGGCGGCTCTCTGTCAAACCTGTTTAATAAAAAAAAGACCGAGCTTTTTTTTCGATGATGGCGTAAGTCCAATCGCCTCATGATTACGCTGTGCTTTTGTACATGCCTTTAATTTTCGTATCATAGAATCGCCTTCGATTCGAAAACATGCTGTACATCTCCGATGCACGAATGGAGATTTTTTTAGGCGCTTGATGTCCTGAACTACAAAACAAATGAGACGAGGTCTGTTCCGAGTTGTTTTAAAAAGTCACGTAAAGTTTCATACATTCGTATGTGAAACAATGCAATTAGGATTTGTTACGCTATTTCATGCCGATTTTAAAAAGATCATTTTGTAAATTATACTATAGTCTTCATCTGTAAGTTCCTTTATAAAAATATTAGGTGGCCGAAAAGTCTCCCGACAGGCACTTAACGAAGTATTGCAGGAGCGGCGTGGCCTGAGTGGCTAACGCGGGGTTCTGTGACCTAGTGGTTATAACTAACAAGCACTCTTAGCGTTGGCTAACATTATCGCTAAATATTAATAATCAGAAAAGATATAAAACGGAACATATGCTGTTGAAAAGGTGAGCTTTTTGTATGATTGCCGTGCCCTTTTATATGCTAGTTGGAGAAGGCCCGGGGTAACTCCAACAGAAGTTACTGCGGTTGTACTTCCAATGTGGACAGACCATTGATGCTATAGGTGAAAACAGGTGATCCTAAGAACTTCTTCACATAGAAAGAAAGCCTAATAGTGTTAAATAAACATGTTAATATTTTTTGCTTAACGATCGGCTTTTTTTTTTCAGAAATGTCTTCCGTTAAATTCGATCCTATGTATGTGTAACTTATGGTAACGCAAACGCAAAAGCAGCGTATGTATTTTCCGAACAGCTTTGATCTAACAATATAATATATCTTCCGCGAATAATTTAGTGTTTAACAAGTTATGTTTTCCAAGTTATGGAAAATGACAGTATACGAAAGCATACGGAACGTCTCAGAAGACGTCGACTTCTGAGCCGAGTTGATAATAAACATAAAGAGGCTGCGCATTCGCAATAACGTAATGCTAAATATTAACTTTAGTATGTAAAAGTTGCCGTTTAGAAATTATTCCAGCCTTACTATCCGGTCATTTCGAACGCAATAAAATCGCTTAGAACTTTTCAGTTGTTGATCTCTTATCACATAAACCACCTTCAAAACCGCTAAGCGATATAATGGCTCCGCGATAGCCAATACTTTAAAAGATCACTTTCGTTATTTGCATATGTATGCAAGTACCGGCCAGAGTTTTCATAGGTAAATAGCTTTTTTCCCCATTGCTCTCGCAAACATTTTAGTTCATATCAGATTTACTGGGATGGATTAGATAGCTCAACGCATACGTTCATACTAAGCTATGTGTAAGCGCTACCAAGGTATTCAGCCAAAGAACTAGACACAAAACACAACCAATTTTTAGAGAAAATTTTCTCTATTAAAAATAGAAAATAAAACTAATTTTTTAGATACGTTATTTCGAAGCTAGATGAATCCTCGGACCTTCGGAGGCATACGTAACATAGAAGTGTGGTCACAGTAATGTAATTCAGATTGTTTTCAACTGTTTATTTTCCTTGATATTGTTTTTATTTGCCAAACTTCTAGTAGTATTATAGCTTTCTTTTGGTCATTAAGTGTTACTTCAACTTTAGACTTTAACAATGGCTATGTCTTATGTGAAGAAACAACAACATCTACGACATATGTTATTCTTTTTTCACTAAAACCAGAAAGTTGTTGAACTAGCAGCCCCTGTGTAGATGTGGCGTGAACCGTGAGAGCTTTACACCTACGAGAGCCACTTAGAGGTGGCTTACCGTGGTCAAACATCGCATTTTCAATGTAAAGAACACACTTAATTGAGCTGTTCGATTATCTATCTAGAGCTTCCTTGAGCAGCTTTTGAGAGAAGGCAATAATTGTTAGATAATTCCCTATATCTTAGTAATCTTTGAATCTTTACCATGCGCGGAATAGCTGTTCTTAATTGCTTGCGAAGCCTTTTGACATCGGTGGTCAGTTCGCGTCGCGATCTTCTTTTCACTTGATACTGATTTACTGCAATTATAACGCAGGACGATGGCAACAGCTTTATAAAGCACGAAAGCGTTGTACAACGTTTGATCATCGGCAGACCAAAGCTACTAGAAAAGCGTAGTAATATACCAAAATCGGCATCATTTCCAGAAAAATCTAACATACTGAATATTGTATAACGTTTAAAATTCAAATTGAGCATTATCAACGGAAGTAGATTTAGTTCACATTCAAGATAGAAAATTAGACAGGATGCCCCTTCGAATTCTGAAAATAGAGTCACTATAGTTAAGTATAGCGCCACTATGGCTGATAAGTTAATAAGAATAAGGGAAATTTGAAAACATTCAGTCTTGTCTTGATCCTCTCCAGAGTAATATGCTTCTATCAAACAAGAGCTAGATTGCCTATTGATATAACTGACATCTTTTGCATATCATTTCGATTTGTCCGGTGCGGTACGTGTTTTTTTTTGTAACTTATGTATTATCTGGATAAAGTTTCGTTCGACGTCTGTCCAGGGGCTGCTTTTGTTTCCTTGAGTTCATGAACGGTTATGGACGACACTCATACGTGCCAGGCGAATACCATTACTGGGTTTGTGAAGTTTCAAATCTTCTCGGAGCTAAGTGAACAAGACCAATAAATCGACTGTTATAAATCAAAGCCAGCTTAAACTTACATGACGACTTAAAATGATGCTTAATAGATGAAGAACAACATTACGACACTAATAGTAACTTAAATAATATAAAGTTTACGCACAGTAGCGCCATTAGGTTGTGTTTCAGTTGGCTAGCCTCCAGCAGGAAACGCAGTATGTTTATATTAAATTGCAGACTTGGGCCGTTTCATGCATACCTCATTTAACATAGCAATGCCGAAAGAATACGTAAAGGTAGTGGGGCAAGCTACGAGGCCTAAAAACTTCCAGTATGCAAAAACTTCCAAGGCCGGGAACTATGAAATGCTCCAGGCCAAAGATCGGTTTGCTAGTGGGCATCTCAAGTTCGCTATGCAGGGAAGAGAATTTCATTCGAAATCAATGCATGGTATTGACAAAGGGCTTCCTGGGTGATGAAACCATAGATGTCACTATATACATTAAAAGATTTCATTCAGTTTTATATATGGCCGAACACCTGCAATTCCAGTGGCAGACTTGAAACTCATTAACGTTGACATAGGATCACAGTACTGATTTTTAAACTTTTCAGAGACATCTGTAAATGCGGGGAACTGTTGCGGAGCGTGTCTGCATTCAGTTGCTACTCGCACTCCAAGTAACTTGCCTCCACCGAGCTTTCGCCCTACCATGCTTGCCTTAGAAAATTAGCTGTATATCTAATTTGATCAAGAACGAAGCCCCTAACACCGCCAAGAATTTCCAGGTTCACCATAACTAAGTTGACGCAGGGGAGGTTACCATCTCCTCGAAGTTTGTTGCCTTTTCTGTGAACTTTAAGTGAACCCTCCCCCCCCCCCTCAGTTAGTACCGACAAAAGGCATGTCTTCAATGGTGAGCTGCTTTGAGTGTATTTCTACTTACCGATGTATTTTGTTTTACGTAATAGCTGTGCGATATCACAGAGATGGTGCCGTTAAGTTGGATAGAAAAATTCGGGGAGATTACTTCGAATGATTTTGCATACTTGAAACCTAAAATTGTATATTGAAACCTACGGTTCGATTGTTAAATCTATTCGAGTTATGTTTCCTAAATTAGGCCGGATTAAGAAGATAAGATTCGGCAGAAAAGACACTGCCTATAATATGTGGACGACGACGCCAATTAGTAATACATAATGGTTACCAAATATGTTATGTGTATATACTGATCACTTAAGTTTGGATAGTCTATCTAACATAGTTACGAAATAATGTTTTGTTAATGTGTTTGCCATTCTCTAGATGGCGCATGAGTTACAGTCTGTCGCAGTGGTGAAGGTAGACAACCGGCAATTTCTCATTCCTGCTAGCCTTCTCCATCATCATTGCCCCATACTTGGGCCGTGTTTAAGCACAAATTTACCCCTAATTCGTGTCAATATTGAGGGCATTAAAGCACCGACGTTTAAACTAATCGAAAACTATATTCGGACCGGTAGGTACCCATGAGACAGTTCAGCGGACTTGTCACATTGTATCCAGTCTTTGTTAAATAATTTTACTATTTTTACTAAGACGTTTTTTATTAGCGTGTAATTTATTAAAATTGCACGCTAATAAAAATGCTACATGCGAATACTTTTCACCGTACTACCGGGGCGTTTTAATTTGCCGACTTGCATAGGTCTCGCTGGCCACAGTCTTGATTCGCTAAATGAATTATTGCTTTAGAAGTTTAGAACAACGTTTTACGTTTTCGACCACTAGCGTATTCTAATGCTGTTATTTCCGCGGCCTTTGCTAAACCCCGTTCGGTATTGGTTGAAAACCTTTCTAGACCAAGCGCGTGTACATAAATTAACCTAGTGCTCAGCACTAGTTTATTGCAACAAACATTATACTATATATATATATATATATATATATATATATATATATATATATATATAGTGGAGATATCTAGTGAGTATGATGAATAATGTCTTCACTATATATTAGGACAGTTTCCTGACATCACGGTGCAAAATGTCATCGACCTTTACGCGGCGGCAACGAACCTCGGCATGATCCCGCTGGCTAAAAAGTGTCAGGAGGTCTGTATTAGTCCTATGCGCAGGAAGCTCCCAAACTCGAACCTTGACTCTTTGTTGAAAATACCCATTGGTTAACATTCTGCACTATGCTTACTTTAATACTACTACTCCATTTGTTGTTGAATTGAATAAAGGAATATCACAGCCTAACCAATGTAATGGTGGCCTTGGCAGTGGGAAGCAGTCTGATTGGCTTGTAAAGGCATCTTTGGAAGTTAGAAGGCTTCCTTTGGAAGCGTGAGCCACTCTCAAAAAAAATCAATGAAAAAGTAAATTATTATACTTGTATTTTGTAAAAAAAACTGTAAAAAATCTCTTCGAAAATAAGCACAAAACGTGCGTTTGTTACAGCAAATTTACAAACGCTCCGTGGAAGATCAGATGCTAACGTTTTACGTCGAATGCGAACGAGCCAACAACCCGACGGTAAGGTTACTTATCTTCTACTGTTACATCCTAAGCTTAGAAAATATTTTTCGGTAAACTATTTTGGAGAATGCTAGTGATCGTTCGTGCAGCCTACATAGATTAAGTTGTCCGCGTAGTAATGGTGGTTTTCTTCAATACTTTCCTGTTGTAAGTCGAAGGCCGTGCCATAAGTCTCTTATACTTGTGGACGGAATGTTATTCTGGGCTCAAAAAGCGGATCTTCTTGAAGATTCCTAGATTTTTTAATGGTCATTGTAGTCATGGTTAAAAAGCCGTATATGTCTAGAAGGACAGTTAAATATACATTGCGAACTGTGATTATCATAGTCCCGGTGGACGGCGAAGTCGATGAGCACCGCCCAGAGGCATTTTTAAAAGAAGACAGCCAGTGAATAATTTATGGACCGGCCGAAAAGAATAACTGTAGTCATAAGATTATCGACAGACATTTTAAATCAATGCGGTTCACCTACATTTTAAGAGCGTACTTGCCTCATGAAATGGGTGGAAAGCACGGGAAATACATAACTTTGCGTTGTGCCACCGTAGTCACAATAATGGGTTCTTATAGAGAACGGTTCCGGGTGACGAGAAATAGTAGCTCCAAATCGATATGGATAAGAGACAGAGCTCAGTAGCTCCGAAAAATATGCCCGTTTTCAGATATAATCTAGATCTCCATCTTGAGAAAATCTGCTAGCACTCGTAAAGTCTTGCACATACTGCACATATAGCACTATGTGCAAGATTTGGACCGAATATAAGCGCTTGAAAAAAAACAACGATCAACGAGAATCTCTATATAGGCCATCTTCATCGATTGAACAAGGCTATTTAACAAAAGGGTCCGATAACAAGCAGTCATCCTTCCCTACGATAATGTCACACCACAGTGGCAAAGGACATTGAAAGTGGTCTACAAAAGCTTGGCCGTAAGGTTGTTTTGCATTTGTGATACTCTCTAAGCTTTATGCCCACAAATTATCACCTTTTCCAATTTCCAACAAAAAAAAATTAGTGGCTATACATTGGAAGTGAAGCGAATCTCAAGACTGGCTGGACAGATTCTCCGATGCCTGAAAATCTCTGGAAAGTAATAGAGGATAACGGAGCATTAGTTTTTTATTACGATTCAAGGAAAATGCAGTTTTTTTTTTAACTAAGCAGCCTAGAGAGCCTAGAACTAGTAGGGCTCAATAGGTCGATCTGGTAACCGAATATTTTGTTGTTCTCACGTCTATTGATGGATAGGATGCTGCAGCCTCCCTGGACATGATGTCCAAAACTTTCAAGAAAATCGCATTATCAAAGGGTATTACTGAGTTAAACGAGACACAACTTATCAAGGTCATCGATAGCGGCCCAGTGAAAAAACGGCCGCAAGCGGAGAGATTCATCGCTGTACTCAGGTACTCGTTATGGTGCCGTTCTATATGGAAATGAGTAGGATTTGTTATCAGCGGCGCGGAAGGGAAGACACTGTTTCTTTTTCGTCCAGATAGTAGATTAGATCTAGCCCCATCGGACTTGTTCCGTTTTGATTCATGAGGGGATGAGTATTCCAAAAATAAAAGGGAATCCCAAAGACAGGTCTATTAATGGTTCGCTTTGGTTGATTGATGTCCCGGGGGAATTTGTTTGGTATCCGAACAATAGGCGAAAGTCATGGATAATAAAAGAAACAACTTAGGAAGTTAGTCATTTGGAAGAGTAAGCAACACATGAGTATGGACTACATAGTTGCCCCTTCTTATGCCAGGAACTTGACCAGGAGTAAAAGTCGTATATCATCGAACTCGCACGCCCTCGTTTATAGTTATTCGGTTGTCCTCAATGCTTTATTACACAACTTATAATCAAAATTCATGTACGGAAATTTTTGGCACTGCATTTTTTGCATGTCTCACTTTAGACAAGGAAAAAATGAAGTGCACCCTAATCACCAAGGGTTAGACCGCGCTTTCAAAAGAATACTAGTCCGGTCTAAGCACAGAGTTCAGGTGACTTACTCCAAAAAATGTTTTTCTATTTAATTTTTTCGATAGGTGGCTTCAAACGGATTGCCGAGGTCGCTCCGAGCGCGCAAAAAGCCTGTTATCGCGTTTCAATCTCAATGACAAGTCGCTCGCGGGCTGTGAGGTTTGCCCAGAGATAACAAAGCATGTGCCGGCGCTGAAGCTACTTGCAAATTTGCCTCTACCTGAGGTACGACTGTGCTTTTAAATATTTCCTATCAAACCTTCATAATAGAGTGCATTTGATTGAACCAATTATTCTCATTGTGATGCTCTCATCGTGATTAGGTGAGGCGGAAGCCGAGCTAAATCAAGTAAGCATCTTAAATGGACGAATGAATACATAGAATTAACTATTTGGATACCAGAGAGTATACTGGTATTGCGGGTCCACGTAAACACTGGAATACTTATAATGTGGGTTCTTCCAAAAAGCTGAAAGGTTTCCTGGAAGAGTTTGCAAATAATAGGATCCTTATTTTATTTATTTATTTATTATCGTGGGCACGAAAGACAAATTTACAGGAAAATAGAATAAGAATTCTGTGAAGATGAGAACTATTTACTTAGATTTTCTCTCATTACCCATTTCGTATACAGTATGCATTGTGTATCAGCGTTGCATGTTCGGCGTGTTAAATTTATGGGTTACTTATATAATATATGAAACCTCCATGAAGCTTCAGAGGGTCGGCACTGGTAAAGGGTGCGTTACCGCCTCAACGAGTTTGAAAGGGACTCCGGTAACTACTATAACTGGTGGTTCAACAGCAGTAACATCGTCGAGGACTAAAACGGCAGCGACTAAAAGTTTCAATGCAAAGGTACCACTCCAAAAAGCCAAGGCGAAACAGAAAAAAGTTAACAAAACAATCACTGAAACGTTTGTCGAAAGCCCAGACAGCGACATTAGCACGCTTAAAGCTAAAAAGACGAATAAAGCTTTGAACAAGGTCGTACCGGAGAACTTTAAACAGGTGTACGAAAGCGTTACAACTAAAAGCAGAGGAAACTCTACAATAGAAACCGGCGGTTTTGTTTTGGCCAAGAAACAGCCACCCGTCGATGGTGGAAAATCCAGTCCTTCTTTAAAAGGCGCAGTACAAGAGGAAAGCGAGCGAAAAGGTACGGATAAGCCTAGCGAAGTTACTACGCCAAAGGGTCGATCTAGCAGAGATTCGAGGAAGTCACTTGTTGCTGATCTGGTGAAAAGGACCACTGCAAAATTTTCGAAAAAACAACGAAATAAACCTATTGATGCTAATAGGACAAAAGACCCAGCTAAAAAAAGTCAGGAAACAAAGCTGGCTATGTTTACGACGCCGCATGCAGATAAACCTAGTGAAGCTAGCACGCTAAAGGACCAACCGAAGACAGAGGTGAAGAAATCTTCTTCTACGAAGGCTTTACATACAAATAAGCCTAGTGATGTAAATGCGCCTAAGGACCAGACTAGAAAGTCTTCTACGGTCAAAACACCGTCTGCACACAAGCCTAGTGATGCAAATGTGTCTAAGGACCGGGCTAAAAGGTCTTCTACAGTCAAGACCCTGCGTGCAGATAAACCTAGTGACGCAAGTGCCTTAAAGGATCAATCTAAAATAGATCAGAAAAAATCCCCCACGGCCAAAACACTGCGCCCAGATAAGCATAATGAAGCGAATTCCATCAAGGACAAAGCCAGAAGTTCTAAAAAGTCCACTTCTGCAAAAGCATCGCATGGAGATAAGCTTAATGAGACAAAGTCCCTAAAGCACAAAGCTAAAAGTCCTAAAAAGTCCCTTGCTGCAAAAGCACCTCGTGCAGATAAGCCTAGTGATGCAACTAGCCCAAAAAAACAGGAAAAGAAGAGTTATAAAAAATCTGTTGTTGCGAAAACGCTGCGCGTAGATAAGCCTAGCGATGCAAGTAGCCCAAAAGACCAGAGCAAAAAAAGTCCTAAAAAGTCTTTTCTTGCTAAAACGCTGCGCACAGATAAGCCCAGTGATGCAAGTAGGCCAAAAGACCAAGAAAAAAGTCCGAAAATGTCTTCTGTTGCCAAAACGCTGCGCGCAGATAAGCCTAGTGACGCAAGTAGGCCAAAAGACCAAGAAAAAAGTCCTAAAAGGTCTCGTGTTGCGAAAACGCGTCGTATAGATAAACCTAGTGACGCAAGCAGCCCAAAAACCGAAGGAAAAAAAAGTTCCAAAATGTCTTCTGTTGCCAAAACGCTGCGCGCAGATAAGCCTAGTGATGCAAGTAGGCCAAAAGACCAAGAAAAAAGTCCTAAAAAGTCTCGTGTTGCGAAAACGCGTCGCATAGATAAACCTAGTGACGCAAGTAGCCCAAAAACCGAAGGAAAAAAAAGTTCCAAAAAGTCTTCTGTTGCCAAAACGCTGTGCGCAGATAAACCTAGTGATGCAAGTAGGCCAAAAGACCAAGAAAAAAGTCCTAAAAAGTCTCGTGTTGCGAAAACGCGTCGCATAGATAAACCTAGTGACGCAAGTAGCCCAAAAACCGAAGGAAAAAAAAGTTCCAAAAAGTCTTCTGTTGCCAAAACGCTGTGCGCAGATAAAGCTAGTGATGCAAGTAGGCCAAAAGACCAAGAAAAAAGTCCTAAAAAGTCCCTTGTTGCGAAAACGCGTCGCATTAGTGACGCAAGTAGCCCAAAAACCGAAGGAAAAAAAAGTCCCAAAAAGTCTTCTGTTGCCAAAACGCTGTGCGCTGATAAACCTAGTGATGCAAGTAGGCCAAAAGACCAAGAAAAAAGTCCTAAAAAGTCCCTTGTTGCGAAAACGCATCGTATAGATAAACCTAGTGACGCAAGTAGCCCAAAAACCGAAGGAAAAAATAGTCCCAAAAAGTCTTCTGTTGCCAAAACGCTGTGCGCAGATAAACCTAGTAATGCAAGTAGGCCAAAAAACCAAGAAAAAAGTCCTAAAAAGTCCCTGGTTGCGAAAATGCTGCACATAGATAAGTCTAGAGATGCAAGTGCCTCAAAGAATACAAAAAAGAACAAGTCCCGTCCCACCGAGGCCTCACGAGCAGATAAACCCACTGACGCAAGCACGTCAAAAGACCAAGCCAAAAAAACTCTGAGAAAGTACTTCACGGTCGATAAGCCTACAAAACCTGCGCCAAAACTTGCGGATAAGCCCAGCGACCTCAGCACAACCAACGATCAAGCTAAGAAAACTTCCAAGAAGTCTCGTTTCTCTAAAACATCAAAAGGGAACGTAGCAGCGCCTACTGTAGCCCAAAAGGCGCCTAGCAACAAGTCGGGTGAACGTAAAAAATCGGCACATACTAGTCCCATCAAAACCAAAAACTCACAATCGAAAAAACCTAGTAAAGAGGAAAAACCATATTTCCGCTTGATGGCAAAGAAGTCTAATAAGCCGAAGGCACAAACCTCGCCATCAAAGCAGTCCACCGATGCATCGACAACGATGGTAGAAAAACGTCATGATGTGCTAAAGGCAGGCAGAAACAAGCGACGTGAAGCCAAGAAATCGCCGACGAAAAGTTCAAGCAAAACTAACAAAACCAAGGTGCACGCGGAAAAACTTGCTAATGCACAGAGAGTGCCTCATTCACCGATGAAAGAATCATTGCAAGATTTAAAGCAGAGAACTCGCAATGACAATCCACTTGTCGCAACATTCGGTTCCACATTGGCAGGCAAAGGTAATAACGTCGGTACACCCTCCGATACGCAAAAAAACCCGAAGAAACGTAAACATTCAAAAAGGGCAGATATTGCTACGGATCACAAATGTAACAAAAAGCATGCCCAGAAACGTAGCGGCCAGACCAGTGCACAGCCGTCAGTTAAGAGTAGTGACATGGCAACAGAAGTGCCATTAAGTAAGTGGTACTCCGGAATTCGTACGGAGCAGCTCCATCAAGCAAGAAAAGCACCCGGTGGCGAGGAAGTCAGTCGCGCTACGATTTCCGACAGTGCGGCGAAAAAAATCGTTAAGAACGGTCCGACTAACGCTCAGCAATCCGAGAATTCGGCCTTGAAAGCACCAGCAGCCGCGATTCCCCAACAGCGAAATGACAAACCTCAAGGCTCATTAAAGAAGGGTTTAATAAAATGGCCCAGAGGTTGCGGTAATCACACTAAACAGAAAAAAATACCGGACGCAAAACTGGCAGAGGCTGGAGTGAAAAATCGAAAGTCGAAATCACTGTGGAAAAACCTCAAAAAACCGGCAAAGATCTTTTCTGGTGGCCACTAATCAGCGGAAAAGGACTAATAAATCAAGTCTGTTTTTAGCGATATGAACCTAACCCTGTATGGATAGTCAGTTAACAAATATAGCACAGGAACTACGCTAGGGCTACGCGATCTTTGAGGGTAGAGCGATACACGGAATGTTCATTCAAATAATGTGCGGAAGTATATCTAGTGATTGTTCAGCGAATTAGATATTAAGCTCTTTAACTTGGTCCAGGAAAGATTAGCAGTGAAAAAGACAATCAATGAAAAGCATGAACTTAAGGAAAAAAAGTAGTACGTACGGCTATATAGGCTGGAGCAACAGCGTCCCAACAGCTCTAGCGAGCAATTATGTACACATTAGGTCTGCCGCGGGCCTGCATGCTATATCTGTCCTTCTGGCCAAATACGCATTAACGAAATGGACAGCTTGATATAAAAAAGAAACGATCTATATGATAACAAAGTAGACATAGCAAGCAAACTATTAGACCCGCCTAATGGAAGTGGATTAGAGGATGTACACGCGAACCTTTAGGTACATTGATTGCGGCACACAATTTTACTTTTTTCGTCACCTAATTAAAAACGACAGAGGTTGTCAGAGACGCTGCTGCCGCCTCACCGATAGTTCCCTGAGATTTTGTCCAAGTAAACGTGCTGAAAACTCGACGGTTTACAACAATGAACCTGCCTAGCAAACAGCCAATTGAAACGAAGGATAATTAAAGCTTATTTGTGAAGTTGCGTTTTTTATTGACGGAAGCTTACTGTACCGTGTCGACTTAAGATATCTGTTCGATTGTATGTCCCTTTCAATATTCGGATATAAAATGAAATGAAGAGCAAACATAAAATGAAGGGTTGACGACTGAGGAGTGAAATGCCAAAGTACGTAACTTAAAACCTGCACGTTTAACTTGTGAACATTCTTTTACTATAGTTAAAAACAAACAACGCGCTACGGAAAATTCAGTAAAACCCATGTAGTCTTGTATAGGGCTTTACTAAAGTTGCTTATGACATTATTATTTACCCTTAAGCGCAATAAGGGGACGTTTCTACTGAATTAAGTTTTTTTTTAACAAATTCTAAAATATGACTCTTAGACCTCAAGAAATCTTTAATATATATCTTATATATGTAAGATTTCAAGTAATATTACTGCAATCGACAGGAGTGTATGTGGTGTATGCTGCAAAAAATGCGTCCCCAAAACGATACCGAGAAGGGTAATGCATAGATGATACGATTTTAATCTCAATAATTATATAAACTGGGGGCATGTCTAGGGCATGTCCTGTATCCCTGATGATTATAATTAGTTGTTGCATTAGTTGAATGCGCGGGATGATTTGCGGATAATTAAAAAAAAAGATCATTGACCAGTCTCAATCGGACATCTACACAGCATACAAGTGTGTTATCGTCGACGTAGTAGTCTAAACGACTCAAGTTCTGGAACCCTAGCAATGATATAAAAATTATAATATAATAATAAAGTTACATCTGTCTGTCGCTGGATTAAACTGCGCTTAAATCCTCACATCTCTTCATTTGTAACGGTATAATGCTTGTTGTGATAGCCATGCACAGGTCAAGGCCCCTTACGATGTATTGGGATGCTTTGTTTAATAAATGAATCCCAATGGACTTAATGGTGGAGTCGATAGATTTCACTTTTAACTTATGGATTATGATGTAAGTAAAGCACTTACATTTCTGAACGCGCTGTGCTTCGCCTATATAGTTGGTGTATATAACGGTTGGTGCAAAGGTCGTCAGCACGATGAACCAGTAACCCCTCAATGGTAGATAGATGATAATCAGGTTAACATAAAAATCTGGTGGACATCTTTCACAACCGCTGAAGCGTATACTCAGCGAAAATGAGTACTGAATACTGGTAGATCGCAGCTCGCGGTTATACTGTTGCCTTCAAAGCGCACTTCGTATTGCACGGATATGTGGACCACGTAAAAAGTACGTACCACGTATGAATAAGAACGCAGATTTTTCATAGCTAGCAGGCTATGAAAAGTATTTTTACATTAAAAAAAATAATGAGCAAGATAATCGTTGCCAAAAGCTGGCCTAAAATATGCCAGTTAGTGTTTCCTGTTCAGAGGGACGTTGAGGTTTGCTCCTGTGCTTGTGTAAATAATTTAGAAATGCATCTAATGCTAACAAAGGTCCAAGTACGGTGGCTGAAGCCCGCCATAATCTTCTTTTGCCCCTGTAAAACTCAACAGACGTTTGGGGAGATAGCGAAATAAATTATCGAGATATTAATTCCCGCGTTTTATTTTTACAAATAAATTGCACCGTCCGTTTTCGTGTATCGAAATATGCTCTGGAGGCGAATTTTATTAAGATTTAGTTTAGTCTGCGATTTGAATATATGCCAGAAGAGGTTATTAGTTCTGAAAAATCAACACATTTATAGGAAAAATCATTAATGAAAAAATGCTAAATAAGTAGTTCTGAACGTAACTAATAATTGTCCTTTCTATAAATAGCTAAACGAGATTTGAATTATTTTTACTGGCATACTTAAATAAGCGGAATGGCAAACAAACAACTACTGCCCTTAGATATTGTATAAATTCATCATCAACTCGAATGATGAAATAATATATAAAAACATCATAACCGCTAGATAACACTTCCATCTTCAGTTGCACATTGCAGCAGAAGCTCTGATTTGAAATCCTTTTGATAGGCTCAAACCTAATGTTGGCTGAATTCTCATTGAGAGCTTCTCGAAAAAATTCGTAAAAAATGATACTATTATTGAAGTATATCGTCAAAAAACAACGATAACAGCTTAACGTCTGGGCAGATGTATACATTTGATTCGTTGATAACGGTATACTTTATCCGTGCTAAACACAACATTGCCGAAAAAAATAAAATTGATGCATCTAATCTGCGTTCTAGTTGAAAATTTGATCGCATCTGTCAGTGGTATACAAATTTTTCTACTGTCCACTATCAATAAACTTGTTTTTTGAAGTTCGGTGAGGTAACTGTTGCAATAGCAGTCACGCAATACAGTGGAAGTTATACAGCAGGGCTTGATTAAGAAATACCCGGATTCATATCGATGATTTTGTGGTTCTTCTTATATTTGTTGAACTACTCTGCGTTCTCCGATAGGGAAGATTCAGTTTCTCGTTTAAACAATAATTATTTCGAAAGAAATAGAGCGCGTGACTACCACAAACCTCATCCTATGATTAAATATTTACACAGCTTTTTTTTTTGCTGCGAAGTTGAATTAATAGAACGCACAGTGATTACTTTACAGACAATTTGTTTTGTTCAGTTACATCGATTAAACGCGCTTCGTGTTATTCGGTGTCCCCGGCTATCACGCAGGGGTTCGGGGTTCGATTCCTGAACGGGAAAGATGAAACTCTACGATACACCCTGATGAAGATTTCTTAATTGAACCTAAATAGTAGTGGAAATGGAGGGTTTGAAGAGAGTCATATAGAACTCATTGGGCGACCGCCGAGTAACAACACTACGTTAGTCCGTACATCCAGCAATAATTTACAAAGCTAGGTTTAATAAATATGTCTAAACCAAAGTTATTTCTTTTTATTTTATCTGGATGCAGTGTTTTCTCAAATGTGATACATACGGACAAACTAATAGAAGCATTTGAAGAAGACGCGTCTAATAAACGGCACCTTACGGTTTTTCAAGAGGGAAACATTTACGAAATAAATAAGATTACGAAATCCATCGAGTGATCGACGTTTCGGACCACATTCGAGAGAATGTTTTCATGATTTTCGCATGGTACCATGCATAATAATTTAATTCGACGAACAAATATACCCTTTTGTCATGCGACTGCTGGTCTCCTCAGCCAGAGGGTTCACCGCCCGTTTTCCCGTAAGTTAAATTTTCTTCAAACGATAAATATGATGACCTGGTCGAAACTACCTTGCACTACATAATCAAGTACTCCAATACAAATCAACTTCGGTGTTTCTTCATTCGATACATAAGTTATAAAGGTACTGATTTGCGAAACTCACGACTAGTGAGTCTGCACGCTGCTGAGACAGCCTATTTAACTTCTGCATTTCATTCGACGAACGGCCATAGCGAATGAAGCTTAGGTCTGTAGAGCGTCAACGACCGCTCTGCGTCGTATTTAAGTTACATTCGGCGTAAAGTTTACTTCACGCAGGACGTTATTATGTAGGAAGAACTTCCGCAAAATGCGTATTGTTTGCTCTGGGCATAAGTACCAGCGTCATATTCATGAAGGTCTCAACAACTACCGTCCTTAAAGCCGCCTGTACGAATGACGTAACTCGCATCGCACATATTCTTACAACTTTTGTTCATTAGCTCATAGAAAATGGAACGCGTGTTACGAGGTGTCATAGATTTATGAGGCTCGCTTGATGAGCACGAACAACAGTGATTGTCTTTGGAGGCTGACACCATCGAGGTAATTTGCAGTCTCCGCGTTAGCATATACCCGTGCTTAACAAGTTCCCCTCTACTTCCGACTTGCCTTTTTGCCTTTCCAAAAACTAGATGACAGACACAGCGCTAGCTACATTTCGAGGGCCGTATATACTCTCTCACCAATTTATCATGATGAATATGCTGGTGAATATGCCAACATTGAATCCTTCCCTTGTTTCGGGTCCGCAGAGCTGGCTCTTGCTCTCCTCATCTGAAACCACTGTCGCCTCGTAGCAGCTGCGTATAATACGTGAGATTTTACGGATTGATTTTAATACACCGTTTTTTTACTTCCGCGCTCGTTCTAATCTGAACGTGATGTAGCATTTTATTGCATACATACCGTCACTGAAAGACCGCTACTCAGACTCCATTCTCCAAAAGCCGGCCGTGAATTTACTAATGTCCCTGATCATCCTGAAATATACGTAAATAGTGTAGATAGGCGGGTAAGTGAGTTTTTGAAAGGCTTCGCTCAGCAGATATATTGCAATAACACTACGGTAATAATAATGTTATAAAAATACCTATAAAAATAAGTATTATTATTATTATGATTTATATTCGTCCGACAGGGGCGAAAACCTTTCTTTCAGACCGTATGGGCTTCGATTTCGTCTGATTGGCGTCACTTGATTGAGCGAACTTCGGGGACAGCTGGATGTTTCGCGTCAAACGCGTCGTCGGAACTGCGGCAGACGGTGTATCCGCCGACCGAGACGAAATCGTCGAGTTTGACACAGCGAGTTGCGCTGCTGCGAATCTCCGAACCTCCTCGTGAAGAAACTTATTTACTCTCTCGTAGAATTCGCGGGTCCGCTCTATTCCTACATGCCCGATTCCGTCAATCCATAATGGGGGAACAGCAAAAGCGCCACATAAACGAAGCAGTTCCACTGCGTGTGAGAACTGAATTACTTCGTCTGCCTTACCGTGAATCAGCAGCACCGGAGATCGCACCTCCTTGACTAAACCAGCATTATTAAAAGGATTCAAGCAACAGCATCCCGACTGTGAAACGTTCTCGATGGATCCGCTCTCGCGGTTCAGCGTTCGCCAACCAGAGTAGAGGCCCGAGAGTTGAATGACGCCTGCCACGTCGTATTTGCTAGCAAGATACCAGGTCGGTACTGAACCAATACTTTGCCCGTACACAATCACATCCGAAGGAGGGCGGTGAAGAACATCGTTGATGTACTTCATAACCATGTCAGCGTTCCTCAAGATCACGTCCTCACTTGGCGACCCGTCGCTACCACCATACCCGCTGTAATCGTAAGCTATCACATCGCAGCCTGTTCGTCTAGCTAGAGTCTCCATAGGGAACTGTACCGTTCCGAGGTCCGCAGCATTTACGTGACTATGCAAGATGACCAGATTGCTTCTCGACGTTTCAGAAGTGTGAAGCCATTGCATAGCGACAATTTTCTTATGTTCTCGGCACATGCACGTAGAGATCTTCTCATAGAGCAAGATCGTTTTGCTCCGCATTTGGGGAAGAGGTAAAATTTTGAGTGATTCGTCTTGGATGACCATTTTGGGCATCCCTTTGCTGGTGGTTACGATCTTGTAGGTCGGCGGCTTCGGTGGATGGAAGGCAATTTTTCGTATGATACAGGGCGGGCATGGAGGACAACAGAAAACCCAACACAACTGTGAAAGTGCTGCACATAGCGTTCGAGTCAGCTGAAAAGTATGTTTTTTGTTAGTGCGGCCTTTGCAAGAGCATCGTTTTTTCCGGCTCATAGTGATAATATAGTGACCATGTCACGCAATGGACAGGGTCGAGGGATGCTTCTCAGCGCAATGGAAGTCCTTGCAATAGACAACCGCATTCTAAGTCCCGTTGGCGGTGATCGCCACGCAGCCCCGACCAAACCAATTTACTGGTATCGTTAGTGTAAGCGAGAAAACAAAAAGTTATCATTTACGAATCAACATGCACGGCTATCGTTTGACGAGGTTTGTCGGTAACGAGACGGTAAGTTTGTGCGACGGCCGCTGAATAGTTAGTAGTATTTAAACTTCAGTTAGTTAAACTTCAAGCGCATTCGATTACTAATCAGACCGAATTTCGCAATCGTTAAAGTTACTTGATGGAGATGTTGATAGATGATAGCAGCGAATCAAACAGAACCAGTCATAGAGGCAAACCGCAATATATTAACTGGAATTAATAGGGCAAATTCCAAGGAAAGTTTTCGGATCAAATTCGAGGGGTGAACGTGTAAAAACCAAAGTAAGAAAAAAAAAAAGAAAGATGTATACAGCGTAAAATATTTACGTCCGGACTTGTTAATGTTTCCCGTACAGCATGTAAAGAAAAACAATTATCTTGATGATTTTTTTCATCTTCATTCAATATAAGCATCATCCACTGCGATTACAGCTTAAAATCGAGACCTAAACTGCTCACCAGTGATTCTCTAAATAATTCTTCTTCAATCCGCAAATAAGTTTTTAATAGTAACTGTGAGTTAAACGATATTGCTAGGCATAAACTAGCGTTTACCAAACATATCACGTATAAAGGCCTTTGAAATAAAATTCTGGACTGATAGCAGGATGCAAAAACTCAAAGTGGGCTAACAAGCACAAAAGGAACAGAAAGACCCAAGAGGTATTAAAACGACCAACCGTTGCAGCTCACCCGGGCGACCTGATTGGCCATTGATATTCTGCTTTTCAAAACGATTGTTCGAGAGGTTCGAAGGTTCCAAAAAAGGTTTGTCAGGCCATTTTGATAAGTTTCTCTCGAGCTCTTTGAATTTAAAGCCTATTTCATTGTAGAATTCTTTCTGAAACACTTCGGAAAACGATTGATTTCGGAACAAAAAAAAATCTCTACGAGATTTGTTCCGCACGAACAGATCATTTTTTGTTTTTATGATGATGAGCCCACTGTGCTGTCGTAGAAAACCGGCTTTTTTTTTATACTACTGAAAGTAGCAAGTGAACATACATCTGCTATAGTGAGCGTTCCGCTAAAACCGGCCCGAATTTAGATTTTCCAAGACTACATTTCAACTCTAGTGCAACTAATTAACCTGCGAGTATCACACCTACGCAGTTTCAATGATACATTTCCTCCGGTGCATACAATTAACCAACTGTACAGCTGAATACGTGCACATGTCCAATTTCAGCCATTTGAATGACAATGAAACTGTATCCTATAGTACGCCTCCTAAATCAAGCGTACAAAAAGGCCTACATCTAAATCAGATATGAAGGTCTCAAAGAATAAGCTTCTCGTCCTGCTAGTTATTTATAGTACAGTTTACGCTAGCTATAAGTTTTGCACTGCCATGTTCCCATATGTATACATTCCGGTGTCTTTCGGTGAGGTATCCCACCCACTATTCAATGCTCACAACAATCGACCTCAGAGAATGAACCTCACGAGGAGAGAACACCCTTATACAACCGTATTTTTTTAACGCGCTGCCATTTACCTAGTAATTGTATCCTGTTGACTTAGGCAGGAAGCCGACTCGAGGGCATTCTGGACAATGCAACCATTGCTTCGTGCCATTCGGATGTTTAACAGTAACCACACCAAGAACTCAATATAAAGCGAAAACGTAGATTTAAAGGGTCTAGTGTTGTGTTGGGACATTTTGAATAGATCACCGTTGTGAGAGAAGGCAGAAAATCTAGACTGGATTCTGTAACGACCTAATCAACAATTTACCGCAAAAATAAACATTTTTGCAAAGTCAAATGGAGGAAATGCTTAAATAGAGAAGTTGAAACATTAATCTATATCAATTGACGAAAAAGTTTTGTTTTTTGCGCCTGAATATCACAAAATGATCGAGTCAAACAGCCTATCAGCAAACGCATTAATAAATTTTACCGAACGATTTTCTCTCTCTCTCTCTCTCTCTCTCTCTCTCTCGCTCATTTTTAGGAACCGCACTTGCCACACACGAAAACTACTCATACGAGCAGTGTAACTAACTTGAATGGAGAAATAGAAAATAACTAATGTGGCATAACGATAGGGTGCGATTGAAAGAGGCTAGGCCAGTCTCTTCCGGCTGAGAAATTAGCTATATTTGGCTATTGAAACATGTATCTAATGCTATGTGTTTGTGTAAAACGGAACGGTGTAGTTTTAATTTCTAGAAATTGAGAGAAATACACACGGCCCATGAGAGGCGTTACAGGCCCAGATTCAACATGTACAAAACGCTCAAATCAACAAACAATTTATCAATGATGGACCTCGTGGTTTCGATGCATTTCCTTTGTAACTGGATCATTGTAAAACTACAGATAGGAACACTAGATTTTAAAGGATTCTAGACAAAATAAAAAATGTTGAACCAACAACTAATGTATAGTATTTATACTCTTACTATTATTATTTCATATATATATATATATATAATATTTCACCCACATGATTCTAGTCAGTGAGAACCTTTATCCGCCAGAAAGTATCTAACCCTAAAAAATTACTCATTATATCGGTATTAAAAAATAAAAGCCGTTATTTCTTTCATCAAGCAGTTCCCTGTAGTTATTTTTCTTTGATTGTATTAAATAAGGTTAATTTTTGTTTGGAAGCGTTGATCACGGAGCGCTCTAAGAACCGGAGAAGCGAACCTTGAAAGCCATAATTTTTATGCGTATCTATTATTATTGAGTTCATGACGTTTGAATATATTTACTATATTCTATATATATATATATATATATATATATATATATACTTAATATATTAAGTAATAGTGATCCTCATATTAATACAATGCACTCAAACTTGCCTCAACACTTCGCAAGACGTCCGCAAATTATAATTTTAAGTTAGCGCAACTTAGTGAATCGCTGCACTGCGTACAAATCGATTATACTTTGTCTGAGTATAATTGATTTATATGTATTTTGTCTAAGTAAGCAAAAGTAGGTCCTCGTCAGTGTATTTCCTGCGGAGGTCTCATTTTCTTTGAAATTCATTTAATTTTCCCAAAAACCAATATATGCGAGTGTAAACTTATCACAGCGTATTAAATGTCGTCAGGAGAAGGTAGGAACCATCCATCGCTGAGCATATTGTTGCTAGACCCCTACAAAACCAACATTAACGTTCTGACATCATCCCACCGCGACTAACCTTGCAACAGCCAGATACTGCTATTTAATACATCTTTTTCTATCACCAAGTCATGGATATGATCTGTCTGCCCTTATGGTGTACGACGGTTACCTCTAATGAGATCCCGCTGCGTTCAATCGAAGCACCCCACACCTCAGCTTCTCTATGAGACTCGATTTCTCCGTGGATGACACCTCGAAGGTGAGGACGAACTTTTAGCACTGTCTTCTCAACGAGTTTGCACCAGTGGGGTGTTTTGAAATTGAATTTAGGCTTCTCGTTTTGATGAGATAAAATTATGTTTTTCGTTAGAACCCTCCGCTCAAATGAAACACGGCTTACTGAATGTTGTTAATGTCCTGGGACAAAAGGGTCGTTGTCCGAAGGCGTATTTAAGCCAAAGCTTTCTAGATACGTCAACGACTAAAAATTATCAGTTGATCACGCGGAAGAAACACAAGAGGTGCTATTATTATTACTACGTCATCTATAGATTAGTCTAAACATTTCTATTGTTGTTTTTCTTTACTCTGGAATGATGTTTGAATCAGACGATGCGTGCCATATACTGATAATCAATTGTTACAGCTAATTGGAACTATTCTCCTACACTCCAAATTTATATATTAGCTAACCCTCGTTTAGCTTTTATAAATTGGCCTGATTTAACATACAGTGAATCAACGAACTGTTTTTTGCGTAGCTACAATTCGAGGAACAACCCCATTCCGCATGTGGGCTTAAACCCATATTGCTTGGGCAGTTTTGAGAGACAGCGCATTTCAGTACTTCGACAAAGCTTCTCTATTGCTCTCGTGTGTTCACAATGTTCTGCTCACTGACACCACATCACTCTTTCAAGGTTTCTCAGTAAGTGGACACGTGCCTAAAGGTATATGAGAATAAAATAATTTTTTCAAAATCCAAACAATGGCCGGGTAACCGTTGAGGTCATTTGATAAGGGGAGGAAAAATCACTTAGACGATCGGATACATATCTATACCTTCTACTTTGTGCCTGTCCCCTTACAATGAGATTGTCAAGTTATAAAATAATCATAGTAACATTCTCACCGGATTTACGTTGTCACCCGTGAGATGTCTAGCTATGATCAAATTTAATGGTTCCTGAAATTGATTTGGTGCTTTTTTGACCGTTTCTGTTCCCCGATCGGTTAGTATCGTTAGACTATTAAAGCCGATACGACCTGCGTGCTTTTATAGTTCCCTAACGAAGTTCACTCTCATTTGGCGCGTTGGGAACATCGCCATTTTGAAGTGTCAGCCAATAGCGGCCCCGGTCTCCTAGCCACCTGTAACTTTGCTGTAGCCGTCCTTTCTTGAGCACAGCACCTATTCTTGTAATCCAAAGTAGAGGAACTTTGCCAGGGCAAAAAAGTCTAGGCTCGCTACAGAATGATCAGTTGTATTTTGCCAACTTTGTTATATACGGTTATACGTCAAAATCGTAACGTAAATTTACAACATTTAAATAGCAAATAAGACAGTGAGTTAATTAAGAATCTTGCTGCAAAAGCTATGATTAGTCATTAGACACAGGGGGCGCAAAAGCTGACGTAGTGGCTACTGCGATCCGCTCTAGTTTCTCAGTTCCGCTCAGAAACAATATCCTGACATACTGACACAAGTACTAAAAGTATCTAAAATTTCATTCGGAACAATTTTAGATGACTGAACTACAAACCATAGAGGAACTTCTGATAACACGCAAGACTTCTGGGTAGCACATAGGAGGACAAGCTTGCATCGTAACATCGAAAAAATTGTGTTTTTTGACTGAGTAAGCTTACCAAGTAATGGTATCAATGACAAATTAGCTTACAGATTCTATTCGTTTGTTTTCGCACAGGTATATTGAAGCCCGTCTTCAGGTTAGTGTCATTCGGTAGTGAAGGTATGTTGCATCAGGTTTCATCATTATCACTGAGGAGTCCGTTTAAAGCCATAGATGGTTGTCGGAAGATTGGATGAGCTTCGGATATTGCTCGGCAGCATGCAGACCTGATCGAAATTAGTTGCTGGATGGCAACGCATAGGGCGATATTTAACACCGTTCTGGG